CTGACTCATAAATTTGGGACACGTTACTATTACGCTACATAGCTATGGGTTTTAGCGGGGAAGCTGACTGGTGTGACCTTCCAAACAAGTCAAGCTTCGCCAAATTAAATACCTATTCAGGATATATAGATGGCTTCGAAATATACCCATTCAATATAAAGCATAACATTAGCCTTTAGTGCCTAAATGAGCAAAAGCTTTGGGAATAATATTCTATATATAAATATTTGCATAAGAAATCAACGCGATTAAGTTAATTTAGAAGATAAAAAGGAAAAACATTGGGTCCAGAACAATTAAAGCAATAAAATATTCCCAAGCCCACCTGCTATAAGTGCCCATTCAAGAGGGAGTCAAAAACTTATGGCTAAAAATTTCACTAGCACTAAACCATCAAATACTTTGGTATACGAGATGTTCTAAAATAGCTTTGTCATAGTAATAAAATTATCTAAGCTAAAGCCTCTTAAAATATTTGAAAAAGCTTTTTCGTAGGTCTAAAAGCAACTCGGAACCCAATGGTAATTTTCATTACCTAATTATTAAGTATAATTAATGCTAGTCCATAAATAGCTCAATAAAGGATCCCAAGTGAACCCCATTAATGAGATGATCTACATGGGCGTTTACAGCAAACTAAGATAGATATGCAAGCAACTTTAGAAAACCGAAATTATAAGAATATTAACATTACATTCAAGTATTGAAAGAGAAATATAGAATTTAGTAGCAAACTAGTAAAAATTCACCATTACAAGTAGTTACGGCCATTAGCAGACTAAAAAGCTCTAAAAGACATTTATTTAGATTTATTGGTACATCTGCTATAAAAAAATTGTTCGACTTAAGAAAATAAGCACCTGCACTCATTATAGCATCGACCCCAGTCTCCTCGATGCATGCCAGTGCATCATTGAGATGACGTATATTTCCATTAGAAATTACAGGAATAGACACGGCCCTTCTAAAATTAAATAAAAAGCAATTATGATACGTATGACCACCATATGCATAAAGGATGAAGATGTCTCTTTTTCCATGTAGACTTAATATAAGGGTTAAAAAAATCATCCCATATGAAATTATGAAATACAATTGGCATAAGAGCAAATAATATAAAGCCCTAAGAAAAGTAAATACGACCGATGATTCATCCAAAAAATAAATAAAAACAGCCCTCCGTGCTTATTGATTAAGGTCTTATCACGCAGCTATAAAAATGTTCAGGGACAGTAGACCAACTTGCTTTACAATAATACTTAGCAAAATATCTATTTTACTAAGCACAAAATAAATACATGGTCTTGAGAAACTAACTTTATGGCCTTGATCTGATCCCAACTGGCGAGACCGGTGGAATGTCCCTTTTGATCCCGTGTTCGACCATGAACAGCTAGCATAAAGACGCCAGCCCTCTCTAGGGCCTGAGCATAGGCAACAGACCGATTCACGTCACTAAAAATACGAATTTTTGCAGTTACAGGGATTGAAGCTTCGGATCTGCAATAGGAAACTAATGAAAAAAGATTAAGTTGTGAAGAGATACGTAAAAATC